ACCTACTCTTGAAAATTTCAGGTTCCTGTCAGAAGCACTGAGAAGAAGTGCGGAACACCGCATGTTACGTCGTCATGTCACAAAATGAAGCAGCGGAATATCATAAACGCAATTTGTCCAAATTAATTATCACCATTTACGACAAACCCTTCTTAAAATTATCTACATAGTATCCCAGACCAAGCTTTCCAAATCGTTATTTCGCTGATATTTTCAGTCGGAGCCATCCACCCACACTCATCCTCCACTCACTTTTTATTACTTTTCATAATGCTCTTGAATTCAAAAGAAAGAAAATTCTGAAGTTATCACTGAAGAAGCCAAATAAGCTCATTTCACACTAACGCAAATAAATTATTCATTAACCAATTTTAATAAAATATTACCTCAAAAGACGTTATTATTATATTATCTGAATGTGTAAACCAACAACAACTGCAACACGATTCAATTTCAGCAGTTAAAAAAGAAAAGCAAGACCTGTTAGAACGCCTGTGTCGAGAATGGACCCTAGAATCTGAACTCTCATCACCACATCCACTCGCTTCTGCATCACCGTCCTTGTGCAATACACGATGAAACTCACGCATCATTAATTATTAACTATTCTAGAAATCTCCTGGCATTCTTCTTCTTCTATCAACACTAAAATATTTACTACCTACTACACAACACCAGCGACCGAGTTTGAACTTCACATAAATGACAACAAAATTAAATTTCGAGATCTATTGCTCAAACGGAAGGGAGAGTGCGGGCCTCCAATTATTTAACACGACCAAGGTTTCACTTAGAAAATCAAATTGAAAATGAAAATAAAACAAAATGTGAAACTGTTTTTATTTAAATTTATTTTGTCGCAAGGAAGAGAAGAATGTGAAGTGAAATAAATAGCAATAGTTACCGAAAGACTGCGAAGATGCTGCAGTGATCGGAATTGAATTCGATGAGCAATGAGTGGTTGGGCGCATTCAATGTTGCGATTTAATTCAAGTACTCATCAACACCCACTCACTCTCTCTCCCTCACACACACACACACACGAAATTGGTTAGTTGGTAATGGAAAGTACTCGTGTGAGGTGTGAAGAACGCTGATCGAACAACACTTCGATTTTGAAACGCAACCATTGGTCAGATTCATTCACCCGCCAATGTCTTTGCCGTTTTAAATTCTGTTTACCACTTTTTCCCTTTCTCAGCCTTGCTAACTTTAAATGTTCATTTTGAAGGATTTAGAAACTCATTTTAGTCCCTACTTACTGATTTAGATTCTAACTTTTATTTATTTATTTATTCATTGCTTAAAATCTCTAATTTTCAACTTGCATGAAAGATTAGCCTATGTAATTAAGTTTTCAAGGAATTTGTATGTGAGGGATATACGCGCGAGTAACAGAACTCAAATAATTATGAGGATTAATATTTTTCTTAATTTTAGCCCACACCCAAATTTGACCTAACAGATAATGGCACGACACACTTTTTCTTCCCGTACCCATGATTTTTGAGCTGTGTGAACACAATACAAGTTTGTCCGCGTACAACAGTTATGGCTATTCAAACCATTCTAAAGCACCCATAATAAGTACGCGTTTAACTATTTATAGGGTCACTGGGTATTTGGAAATCAAAATAACATATTCGGATTCAGTGCAGTCCACCTAGAAACTGCACTCTATATTTAGATAAAATTTTGTATTTTATTTAAACAAAAATGTGTTAATTTAAGAAAAATACAAAATAACGTAACATGCCGTAATTATTGTACTAAATTCAAATTCTAAAATAACAAAATATATTTTTGTTCAAAACTTTGATTTAGCATAAATTAAAAATGTGTTTTCAATGGGATTCTAACATTTGTATTGCTGACAAAAATTCGCTCTTGTTAAACGTATTCATCACATTAGGTTTAATTTTGATTCGTTACTTGTACAAAACTTTTTTAAAATTGAAATATTTATTCAATTATATATTATCAGGTTGTTGGAATTATTTGATCTTTAATAATAATAATAATAATATATTATTATTATTATTATTATTATTAGATGAACATATGCATGCTTGTGTAGACTTTATTGCATTGGATCGGTTTAAGAAAGAAAGAAAAATGTTTACGATGAAAATTTTTTTATTGGGTTGTAATTAGAGAGAGAAATATATAATTTTTTTTTTAAGTTTCACATACAAAAAAAATCTCCTTTTAAAATGTACACAATAAATCGAGAGAAAAGTGATAATTTATTTTGCATCTGTTTTGTTATCACTTTGGTATTATCTTCCCCATTTCTCTATGAACCATGGAGCTCCAAAGAGTAGCTTGCAATGGGATGCCACTTTATAGTTTTTATTTTATTTCAGATTCGTTGTTCTTAAGATCTTCTATCTTTTGATGAAAAAAAATCAAGGGTAAAATGCCTTTTGAGGACTTTTTTTTTCCTTTTATTTTTAATTTAACCAAATAAAAAAATTATTTTTATCAATCTAAATAATACGTCACTTTCATCTAAAAATTTATTTATTTATTTATTTTTATCATCCGAATATAATAGGCAGAGATATTAGGTCGAACCAGTTGGTCTTCATCATTGAAGATACTTTACTTAACATGTTTAGTTAGTTAGTTAACAGTTAAAAATTAGTTGAATTCTTTGGTCAGTCGAGGCCAACATTAGTTAAAGTCGATATAAGTTTTAATAAAAGATACTCTAGTTAAAAAGTTATTTGTTGATGCAAAAATTTAATAAAATATATTGATGTAAAAAAATCGATTGAGCAAAATAATAAAGAACAATTGTATATATAACCATTTTTTCAAATTTTAGTGATGAAGATAATAGTTTAAATAAGAGGTTTGATTTGTAATTAATGGTAGAAATGATGACTTAGACTAATTTTTTTTTGTTTTTTTATAATTTTATTTATAAAAAATAACCAATAATGTTTCTTCCTTGGTAGATTAATGAAAAATTAAAGAAATATAAAAGATAAGGAACATAGTTCGAACTCTATCATATATAAAACCAAAAAAGTATCCCCCTCTTATCTCTACCTTCTCTATTGGATAAATTTTTTTCTAAAATATAAAAAACAAAGATATATTTTTAATTGTATGAATTATTAATTATTTTTATACCTTTATTTATTATAAAATTTATATTAATAAGATATTCACTTATTATATATATAAGTTGATATATTCATTTATTTAATACACAAGTTACTAATTCAATTATTTAAAATTATAAATATTTTTAAATATCATATAAATTTATAATATATAATATTTTTTATTAAATTAAATAACTAAAATATTTATTTCTTATAAATAAGATCAAAATTAAATAAGGTTGAAGACCTGTTATCGTAAAAAGGGATTTAAAATTACCATTGTAATTCTTAGCCATGCATGTTTGCAACTAGTTTAAACTTGTAAATACTATACTAAGGATATAACATATGCTAAAGAGAAATATACGAAATATCTTGTATCAGTATTCATAGATGCTATCTGAGGTTCGTATCGCTAAGAGAAACTACTGTATTGACCTTAATAAGCATAATACATACGCAGTCTAGAACCTTCTGCTTTCATAAAACTGCCTAAAAAAGGGAAATGCAAAAAGAAAAGACAGAGACATCATGTAGAAGAGCCATTCCACTAAGCCGTCCAACCACTGTGGATCAGTTACAATAATCATAGGATTAAACAATTCCAAATTGCCTATGAAATGAGGCCAAAGCTTTCAGTCCAACAACGTTATATTTTAATGTTAGCATTTAGAAAAATACTAGAAATACATATTTTTTAACACATTTTTTATTATCAATTAAGATTTATTAAAAATTATAAAAAAATATTAACTTACAAGTAAAAAAAAGTACCACCACATATTTTATAATTTTTAATTAATTTTAACGAATAATAAAAAATATAAAAAAATTAACTTAAAAATAAGAAAGAATGAGATTACATCATTTTTATAATTTTTAATAAATAGTAAAAATATATTATTAGCATTTATTTTATTAATAATCAATAAATATATTAACGGGAGCAAAAGTAATCGTGGGACAATCATTGGAGTTTATGAGCCACGAATATGAGAGGAAGACTGGTTCATCCTCGTGATAGTGGAAATAGAATGCCCGCTAACAATATTTATTGCCACCTTTGTTATCGTCATCATTTAATTTAAGCCTCCTTTTGTTCGTATGGCTATCTGGAAAATGACGACTCAAATGTGTTTTTTTTTTAATGTAAATGGAGTTATGACAATATTCGCTTAGGACATGCTTATCCATCCACTGTCTTTTAAAGCTCCTTGTTTATTGTTCCATTTATTACTAGCGAATTTCCTTGTCATTGACTTCAGAATTAAATAAGAATAATTATAATTTTTAATATTTAAATTTTATTTTAACGTATGTTTAAAAAATACAAAAAAATTATATAAAATATTTTTTTATTAATAATATTAAATATTACAGTTTTCATAAAAAAAATTTACTATTCTTAATTAAGAAGTGTTACTAGATACACATTAAAAAAATTATTAAATAAAAAATATTCAATATATTTATGTTTTTTAAGATAATAAATATACATACTATTGTATTTAATATTACACATTACATATATTCATCTATACATACTCTGTTATTAACGCATTGAATTATGTAATATTTTGTTGTTTTTAGTAAAACGTACATAAATTTTTATTAGATGTCCTTGATAAAAAAAATTGTTATATAAAAATATGTAAAAAAGTAGTAAGAAGATAAGTAACAGCTCATAAAATAGACATGAACACAAGTCAGAGAATTTTTTAAAGTAAAGAGAAGAGGAAGCAAGGGGGTTAGTTAGGACCTCTGATTAATCAAGGGTTATCCAACCACTTCTGTGGTCCATGGGCGGTGCAATGACAACCTGCAATAGCCATCCCTTCACAATCACATGCATTATATTTATGTAAGCTCTTCTTATATAAACTTAGGCACATATTTCTGATGCAAGGCACCCACTAATTGATAGCTCCTTAGCTAGATTCTAAAAACTTTGGTTTTTGCAAGTGGCGTGCCAAAATGGTGAAGATAGCTGTTGGTACCTTCGACGACTCCTTCAGTGTTGCCTCCCTTAAGTCTTATCTAGCAGAGTTCATTGCCACACTGCTTTTCGTGTTTGCTGGTGTTGGATCAGCCATCGCTTATAGTAAGTGCTCGAACGTGACTAGTTAATAATATATACTTCATATTTGAATTATACAGCAATTCATTTGGCTAAAGTGCCTTTGATATATAAAGCCAGATCAAAGCATCTAGATTACGAAGCATATATAAGCACACAACATGCATGCTTTAAATCCATGTATGGTATCCATGGACATTCTACACCTGAGAAAATAACATGAAATTGGAATCATAATTATTCATAGCATCCTTACATACTCCTCAATTTGAGAACAATTGCAAGTATTACTGTAAATTTATACATGACTTAACTCTCAAGCGAACAATTTCTATCAATCATGTAATAGACAATATGCTTATTCAATGTGAGAATTTTTAAAATCTGTCAAAATTATTTTTACCTTTCAAACTGATAATATGAACATGCTTAATCAAATTTAATGGAACTAATGAAACCAGTATGATCAAATTATTATCAGTTTTCATGATACACAAACATGTATATTGGTTTAAATATTCGTGATAGAAAGAGTTATAATAGTCATGATAGACAAATGTATATACTTTGACGTGTACTGAAAATTAGTTGTAATATCGACAAGCGTAAAAGGAATAATGAAGTGGTTGTTTTGTATTATGTAGACGAGATTACATCAGATGCATCCTTGGATCCACCGGGTCTGGTGGCAGTAGCTGTGGCCCATGCATTTGCACTATTTGTAGGCGTGGCTGTCGCAGCCAACATCTCAGGTGGCCATTTGAACCCAGCTGTCACATTTGGATTGGCTATTGGTGGCAACATCACACTCCTCACTGGTTTCTTGTACTGGGTTGCCCAATTGCTCGGCTCAATCGTCGCATCTCTCCTCCTCAATTTTGTAACCGCTAAGGTATTTCTTCAAATATGTTGGATTCGTTTAACACACTGTTTCAATTAAAATTAGTGTTCTATATAAATTATTAAAGTAAATCAATAATAGTTAAGTAGTTGACCTAAATTTTGTTCAACCATTAAATTGGATTGGTTAATGATAAAGGACAAATTATAAGTTGCTTAAGTGCTCTTAGTGCTGTTTATTAGTCAAAATTATATATTGATCTTGATTATATGAAAAAGCATTAAATATAAATGTTACTAAACTAAAATTTTAATTTTAATTGATAAACATTAATAACACCCTACATAACAACGCCTAAATTTTGTCTAAACTGTAACATGGAGTGTGGAATTCAGAGATAAAATTTTTCTTATATGATATTATTTTGGATATTGGCAGAGCATTCCAACCCATGGACTGGCTGCTGGCGTGAACGCTTTTCAGGGGGTAGTGTTCGAGATTGTAGTTACATTTGCCTTGGTTTACACTGTGTATGCAACAGCAGCTGACCCCAAAAAGGGCTCACTGGGCATCATTGCACCCATTGCTATTGGGTTTATTGTGGGTGCCAATATCTTGGCTGCTGGCCCATTCAGTGGCGGTTCAATGAACCCGGCACGCTCATTCGGACCCGCTGTGGTTAGTGGAGACTTCGCTTATAACTGGATCTACTGGGTTGGCCCATTGATTGGAGGGGGCTTGGCTGGGTTGATTTACGGTGACATCTTCATTGGTTCTTATGCCCCACCCCCACCCTCTGAAACCTACCCTTAAATCGACTTCTTATTCTTGTGTCCTTTCAAGCGTCAACTTTCTTCACCGTTTGCTGTCTTGAACCTGTTGCCTTTTCTTTTTTAACTGTACCTTAAATTATCTATCCACTGCTTGTAATAATTCTGTAAATTATAAATCGAATCAGATGCATGAATCTTTGGAATGTCCCATTTTCAGTTTTCGTTTTCGTCCCGACAGTATCACTGCGTACACCAACTAGCAATAAGTTTTACAATTACGATATCCAACGTTGCTATATTCTCAAAGAAAGCTACAAATTAACAGCTTTTTTGCTAAATGTAATAATAATCCCGGACTACGAAGAACTGTCGTTCCAGTTTCCATGTCTCGAGGAGTGCTCTCAGCAAAATGAAGTTCATAAAATTATGAGTGGATCAAGTGTTTTAATACCATATTTTGTTTTCATTAGGTATAAGAAATTAATTCCTCATCCTCGCTTGGTATATAATTTTAAAATGCAGATCTTATCACGTGATGAGACTGCAGCGCAACCGCATAGTCACGATTGCAGTCCTCGATGACTGCATCCGGCCACAACACTTATAATGCGACAGCAATGACAACCTAGATTTAATACCTCCTGCATGGTACTACAGTTTTTTTCTTTTTGATATGCAGAACTTTCATGTGAAGTCCACAAAAATATATTCATCTATATTTGTTTTAAGTAACTGAAAATGTTCTTTGTAGTCTATCGTTGTACCATTGCTGCACCAAACAAGTGAATTGGAGCAAATAACTGATCCCGATAAAATTATGTGCATATCCATGCCGATATAACATTGAAAGCCTTGCGCTTGATTCCTTGGTCTCTACACAATACAAGAATGATAACAAATCTTGATTAGTATGTAATAATTACAGTTCTTGATTCTATTCTAGCTCCAATGTCTAAATAATTTATTTTTTTTAAACTTAGCCTTATAGCAGTAAATCTAAGTCCAACGGCTATGACTTAAGTTGCATGTAATAGTAGTAAGGAAATAATGTCCGAAATATAGTATGAAAACAATTGTAATTTGATCAACATTTGAGTATAATTTAGTAGCCGTTCTCTAAACAAATAAAATAACTCGTCACTATAAGAACAATGTGGAACAAAATGCAATTTTCCTAATAGCCGACAATTAGGCCGCAAAGAAGTTGTGGAGCAAACAAAGAATGGCGAAATAAATTAAAAACTGAAAGGGGATATCTTTCAGGACACAAGCACGACGTAAGCAAACCAGAATTCTACATCAGTAGTTTCCAACAAAATCTTCTGTTATCCACAAAAAATTCCACCTCCCCAACCACCAACAAGCACGATCCAGATCAGGATAATCGCACTACATGTTCCCGGGTGGAGTATCGTTGCAACCTATAAATGATAATTACAAGAATAAGCCAGTTTGCATAAATCGAACGCTCTTGTTAACCATATGTAGCAAAATAGAATGAAACAATGGATCCAGACCACGTCAAGAATGCACTTTTCGTATTGCCTAAAATCTCTCAAAACAGGAGACTGCTGCAAAATCAGTGAATCATTTTTTCAGACAGATAACGAGTATGCCAACTCTTTAAATTGCTGAGAAATTTTCTCTACCAACTTACTAATGAAGTAAAGGAGGTATTGTAACCACCAGCTTATATTAGACATTGGCAATAAATCCCTTCCAAGTGAATTTACAGCAACGCCTGAGTTTGTTAGGAGCAGCAGTTAATCTTATGTGCATCTTCTCACAGACACCCATCCAAATTCCAATCCAAATGGCTAAGATATCGACTACTAGGACGGGTGCTGAATGAATGCAATTTTATTGGCACCGAGGCACAAATTTGTATAGATATATGGGATGAGGCAATGCCCCAGTGAAACAAAAAAGGGGGAGCAAAATATGGGAAATATTTAAAATTCAAATCAGGCAAATAAAAAAAATTTACAACACGAACAGTTTAACTAGTAACTCATCTCATGTCTACATATATATTGAGAAAAAGATAAATTATTTCTTTGTTTTGATGACAGAAAAAAAGTAAAAGCTATTCTAGATAAAGAACGGGGAGATTTCCAGAAACTCACCCAGCAGCTATTGAGTTAAAAAGATGGCAGTTGGACTTCCAGGTGATGGAGGATTTTGATTTAGTAGAGAAGCCAACGGTCCAGCCCTGGCCAAGGAATCAGCATCTGCTGCAGATAAAATTTCCACATCTTCTAGACCTATCTGTCTCTTTATCAAGTCCAAGTTTTCCTTAAGAACCTCAATTTCACCAAATGGCAATCTCAAATCCAGGGCATGAGCTCCAAGTGCAATTGCTTCCTCTTTCTTAAACCTCAAGAAAGGCATACAAAGCTTTTGGATTTGTTTAAAATTGGAAGATTGACCTACAGAACTCTGCTGTAAAGCTTCCAATATCTCTGAGTCTGGAGCGAAAGTTTGAGTGTCTCTGTTAAATTTTTTCTGAAGAATACTCAGGCACTCAGCTTTCCAACCATCAAACTGTTCATTTACATATATCAAGCCTGTTACCTTGTTTTCTGTCAGTGTTGTAACCGGAGGACCTTTTTTATTACCCTTCTTTGAGCCTGAAAGTTGCTTCTGAAGCAACTTCCTCATCAAAACAATTGAATCCTGCAGATATTTATTAGCACTCTTCAGTGTAAGATCAGGAGCATCAGCTGTTGGCCAGCCTGCATTCACGACAAAACCATCCTTCTTCAAAAGCTCTCTCCAAATAAATTCTGCATAATGGGGACAGATGGGTGCAATAAGACGTGTCTGCACATCCATAAAACGCCACACCAAGTCGCGATTGTAACCACCAACCCCACATGAGAATCTATACTCATCCCTAGCAGCCTGAAGATCATAAAAGCCAGTCTTGAGAGCTTCTCGAAACATGTAGTTGGAGTAATTTTGCTCAGTTGTTTTGACAGCAATGTTAATCTCATTGGCAAACACACGATCAGCATAAGTAGATAGGGGACCAGTTCTCATGGATGATTCTGCTGCCAAATTATCTTCATACCATGCAATTTCTTTGGTGAGCCGGAGAATTGCAGCATTTGCTGTCTCAAATACAAAATTTGCATCATCAACACCATCACCAGCATCAGCCAACGAGAATCGTGTAGCATCAGCAGAAAACTCTTCAATTGCCTGACGCAATGTCCTGAAATTTCCAGTGGACTTGGACATTTTCTCAGAATTGAGCATTATGTGGCCATTGCATCTAAACCCACGAGGCCAGTGACGCTTTCCCATGATTGCAGTATGGTTGTAAATGCTGAAAGTAAGATGATTCTGTATAAGATCCTTACCAGAAACTCGAAGATCAAATGGATACCAATACTCAAACTCCTGCTTCATTCTGTCTAAAAGGGTGGATGAAATATCAGTTGACTTGGGGTATGGTCCACCACAGAAAATATAATCCCAGACATCATCAGTCAGTTGCTGAGGTTTGATGGCAGACCCACTGGATCCATACATGTCACCGTTCTGTAAATGGTGTGCAACAGTGTAATAAGCCATGTAAATGGTGGAATCCGATAAAGACTCAACTAGGAATTGTTCATCCCATGGTATGCGTGTCCCCAGACCAAACGATCGTGAGCAAGCCCACTGGTTCAGCCAGCTTAAAGTGTGCTCAAATCCATGTCTTGTCTCATCAGAATACAGGCTCATGCTAGATAGGCACTCCTCAGCTAACTTCTTCCATTCAGATTCCCCATATGTAATGTACCACTGATCTGTAAGAGCTACAACACATTCATCACCAGATCTTGACATCACCCGTTTCTCTGGTTCACTGTAGATAATAGCTTGACCTGGAAGTGTGGAACCAAAAAATTTAAGTAATGGATGCAAGTTAACCGGAGACAATAAGGCACATAAGTAAAACATTTGTCAGAACTTTACATTTACATATAAAAATACAATAAAATAACTGACTTTTATCTAGATTAATTGTTATTGCAAATTATTTCTACTATCATTTAATCATATGTTACTACGTAGTACATAAAAATTCAATCTTTTAAGATGTATTAAGCAGTAAGTGGGAGGAATTTTTTATTAATTCAGAGATATATAAGAATATTAATATTACACATAATATTAAATAAAATGCAGTGTGAAGGCGAATGCTGACCTGTTTCCAAAAGCTTGTTCCTAATCAGGGGCTTAGCTTCCTGAACTTTTCTCCCTGCAAATTCTCCAACAAGCATTGTTCCTTCAGTGAATCCCTTCAAGTATGTTTGCTTCTTGGCTTCTGCAAGCTTTTCTTTATCATTCTGGCTTTTGATTTTCATCTGCAAGCAAACAGTTTCCGCACACTTATTACCGAACTGCGGAACCTCAATGATGGGCACAATCTCAAACGGCAACACCCATTCATCCTTAACACCATACTTTTCCCTGAGCGCTCGTTTTGACTTCAAATCATGCAAGGCCATGTAGTCATCCGGGGCATCACTAGGCACACTGGTCACAACCCCAGTACCTTTATCCATCAAAATAGACAACATAGGAAGAGCATAAATGACCTCGTTAACCGAAAGAGGAGACTTCAATGGAAGTCCAATCAAGTCATGACCAGTGAGCTCAAGCAAGCAAGTGGGTTTCTCAGGAACCCGCGAATGATTCTGATACGCAAGGTTAAGAGCAGCTCTGTGAGCAAGAACAAACACCTCATTTTCATTGATCTCAAAAGCTCCATACTTGCCATCAGGCAAAACCCACGCATTGGTTTGCCCATACATGGTCTCAGGTCTCAAAGTGGCAGCAGCAAAGAACACCTTTCTTCCCTCAAGCACCTTAAACTTAGGCGGAAAAGGGTGAACCAACTCCATCTTGATAATAGTGTATTCTTGTGGCTGAACCCCTTCACCAGTTGCCCTATCATGATCAGCACATGGTTGACCATCCAAAGGAGAAAAAATGGTGTACCTCACATCCTTCACAACCTTCCCCATTGACTTCAACTTCCTCATCTGCCACCTCACAAATGAATCAAAATAAGGGTTCATATCAGTCGTAATAAAAGATCTTCTCCAATCACAACCCAACCCAAAAGCCTTAAGATCCTCCACAGCCAAAGGAGGAAAATAAGAAAGCCATTTATAAGGATCCTGAAACTTAGATATCTCACTATCAGAAATACCAACACTTCGCATAATCTCCCATTGATAAACCTGTCCACCAGACTTAGCAACAGCCTTTGACTTTTTCCCTTTGAATTTATCAGGAGGAGCACCATCCTCGTTCTTCGAACCTTCATCCTCTTCTTTTTCCTCAACTTCACTAGGAAAAACCGGTGGATCACCGAACCGTTGAATTTCTCTGGCGAGTTTATCAGCAGAGGCTTTGATTGGCATGCCAGTGCAGTGAAAAGCGAAGGGGAGAAGCACGTTGGCGCCTCTGAGTCTGTGAAAAGCGGCGGCAAACTCGAGTTTGGAGAGAGAGAAGGCGTGACCGAGATGCAAGTAACCGTTCATGTAAGGGAAAGGAAAGTTACCGAAGAACTTTTGGCCAGGTTCGGGAGGGTTTTGGCCAGGTTCGGCTTTGAAAACCTCTTTCTCTTCCCACCATTTCTGAACCTTCAACTCGATTTCCCTCAGCCGATCCCTCCTCGCGAAGCTCTTCCCGCTCTCGCTCGCCATGTCCGTTAAATGACGGCAACTGCACCAAAATTAACTGTTTCTCAGATCGGAAACGAAAAACAGAAAGATATATGCAGAAATGGAAATTTTCAGATACAGAATATAGAAAGGTTGAAGGTATAAACAAGGAGCTAAGACAAGGTTTAGGGTTGAAAGTGGGGAAGACCTGTGTGCTACTGAACTTTGAAAACAAAGAACAGAGTGCGCGAGACGAGACCGGAGGCGATAAATCAACATGCAGAGTAGGGAGCACCTAACGGGTTAGTGATGGAGTGCAAGGGTTTTGCTTCCATCTCCATGTTGGGTCGGGCTCGCCCGGTTGTAAGCCCATTTGTATGGGCTTATATAGGCCCAACAGTTTCATCTTTAATTATGAATTGAATATTAAAAATTTCAGGAAGAAAAAAAAGGAAAGAAGAATTCAAAAGAAGAGTTTCAAATTTAGGACAAGATAAGAACTAATATTGCATAGATTCACGAAAAATCATTAGATTCAGTAAACAACGAAATTAAGCATGACAGAAAAACTAGATATGATGAAAGTTTTAATTATTATGACACATCGGGTGGATGAATTTATTTTGTAATTAGATTTTATCTATTTTTATGTGATTTTAACACTTAACGGCTTTCATCTGTTAAACAATAGAAAAATATAGAATTATTGCTAAAAAAAAAAATACAAATTTTAATAACATTTTTTAGGTATTGAGTATATTTCATTTGGATAAAGATATTGGGAGTAACAAAACTCTCTTTTTATTAATTATAATTATAATCATAATTTTACTTTTATATTTTTATTATTTATAAACTTTTAATGTCAGTGTATATTCAGTTCTTATTATTTTTTAACTATTAAATTTATATTTTAAACTTAAATTTTTATTTAATAATTAATAAAAATATGATTTTCAATAAAACTGTTATACTTTTTTACTGACTTTGAATTATATTAATTTTTATACGAACAAAGAGATAAATTTTTTAAACGAATATTTTATCTATTTTTATAAGCATTTAAATAATTGTTAGCTTTCATCGAATAAAAGTTAATTTGATAAGTAAATAATCTAGTATCACTTAAGGAAGGTCTTGAGTTAGAATTTTACTTACTATATCCAAGTGCAGAATTCATGTTGAATTTGAATTAAATCAAATAAAAATAATAATTGTTGTTTTTATAATTGTAAACTTATTTAGTTAAATATATAAAGTACTAAATGAAAAAATTTCAAAAATTAAAAATTAAACATTAAAATAAACTTATATTTAGAATAATTTTATATCTTAAATATCTAATTTTTTAAAAATAATTTTCAAATATTATATAAAACTAATATACTACAATAAAGCTTTTCAACAACTTTTTGAGATAAAATAAACTGATTAGAATCATGTTTAGATGAAAAATTTAAAAGCTGCGAATTGTTATTTTTTAAAGAGAAAAGTTGTTGGGTTAAAAGCTGAAAATTAAGTATTCTCTTTATAAAGCTGTTGGGACAAAATAAAATGTTTCATTAATAACCTTACCATTTTCTGTATGGAGAGTTTATTGTCACCAACTGTCACACCTACCAATACATTCTTCAAAAAAAGCATTTATGAGCTTCTTTTAGCCAACTTCTTCTTTCCATTATACATGTTGTACTTATATGAAAAGAATGTGAATGATCACCAAGAAAACGTGTGGGATCTCTGGATATACAAACAAGGTATGGTTTTCTACATTCTTTTTTTTTTTTTCTATTTGATCCCACAATGAGTGATTTTCTTTTGAGATTCCACTTTCAATTAATGTTATTTTTTGTTTTCCCTTGCTGGGAAGGAAACCCTAGAGTATACAACAACATCTTTCGTGGGTAAAAACTAAGTTTAGATTAGTGGATGTTTTCGTTCTTCATTGTTACTTACCATAGGAGGTTGTGTTTTATAGCTTTGGTTTGTTATTTTGGGTATGTTTGTTGGTTGCCACTTTGTTATTTTTTTAATGTATTTTGATTTTGATCCTTGGTCCTAATTTACATTTTCCTGCTATACGTATAAATGGAGCTAGTGTTGATTATTTGCCCTTAGATGTCTCTAAGTTTGTTATAGTTTGGATAAGTGATATGTTTCTGTTATGATTTGGATATGTTAATATTTGTTACTTAAATAATCAGTTTTGTTTAGTGGTTAGTTTGTTATCAGTAGTGGCTAGGATTATGGAACATGATTTCTCATTAGTTATTTTCTTTTTCTGTATTTAAGCATTTTCATATTCAATAATAAAACAGCTCAGTTTGCATCCAACACTCGCATTGTATTTCTTTTATTCTCCTTTTTTCATGAAAATCAATTGTTACTATAATTGGTTATTATACGAATTTATGAACATTTAGAAAGGAATCAACTTGTTACAAGAATTAGCCTTAGATTTCTTTAGTTAATTGTGCTATCCTTGTGAACTTCTACTTATTCAAGGTGAACTTCTACTTCTTTGTGCTTTCTCCTTAAAACTAACAAGGGCAAAGATCTATGGAATTATTAATGCTTAGGAATAATGCGTTGACAATATCATCTTTTCCTTTCTTTTTAATCCTTTTTTATCGATATAGGATGGCAAACATATTAAGGAAAAGAAAAAGCACCAATGGATAATAATGCACCAAAGATTTCTTCTAGACAAGATAAAACAACAACAACATGGAATGATAAAAATACAGAAATTTTAATCTATACTATTCTTGAGCAAGCAAATCGTGGTGAACGCAATGACAATAAACTTGACTAAAGCGAGGTGGAGGGGTGCTAGAGCACATTTTAAGACTATGAGTGGGTTAAACTATGATGACCTTTAAATTAAGAACAAATGGGATTCACTGAAAACTAAATGAGGTATTTGGAACCAAATATTTGGAAGAGAAACTGGCCTTGGTTAGAGAGTCGATGCATTAGATGATTGGTGGGAAAGAAAGATTCAGGTAGGTTTCAAAAAAATTAAATAATAAAAACTATAATGATTTTATATTTAGTTTAGTCTTACTTATATTAAGTGTGTGCTTAGTCCTTGTAAGAGGATCCTAGAGCAGCACAATTTTGATTTAAGGGATTAAAATTTAAATATGAATTGATCTCCCTATTTGCTCCTGGCACTACCACTAGTGAATATGCGTGGGCACCATCCTCTTGATGTTTACTTACAAATGTTGAAAATTTAGATTCTAATAAGGGTTCAGTTGATAGTGAAGACCTTGGAATTTGTGCTAATGTTAATGTTAACATGAATGATGGTGCTAGTGTTAGTGGAGCTAGTGTCCGTGGTAGTTTTGATTTTGGATCATTTTCTTTAAACAATTCTAAAGGTAGTTCTTTGAGTGGACAAAAAAAGGAAAAGAGAAGGACCAATGATACCTAGAAAGGGTAAGGGTAAGCAAACACAATAGCACAAAATGAATGGTTTCCTTAAAAGACTTGTGAGAGCATTTGAGTCACGCCCTTCAAATGTTGATGTTGCTAAAAATGCTGACATGAGTGATCCTTCTTCCATTATCAATGTCATGAAGGAAGTTAAAAACTTGCCTAGCATGATACCTAGTTCAGATATGCTTTCTAAATGTAGTCACATCTTGAAAGATCGAGCCACAAGGCAAATGTTCATGGCTCTTAATGATGAAGAGTCCAAGCTTAACTATCTGTTGTATGAAATCAGCTTGACTAAGTAGCATGTACTCTAGTCTATTTTGAAAGTTGTTGACTAGACAACCTATATGCTCTCATTTTGTATTATGTAATTAAGTTAATGATATATGAAACTAGGTTATCATGTAATTTTTATGATTTTATAATATAATTATGTTCTTATTATGTAATTATGATACTATTTTTATGACATTTATCTATTTGACTCATAACTTCACTCCATCTTCTTGCAAAATGATTATTCTAACCTCATCACAAAATGATGATGACTTGGATGAGGATGTTGCCAAAGATAACATGGAAGATGACATGAAATTCTTGATGGCAGCAACAACCATTTTGGTTATTGATCATAGTTTAAAGTACTTATGCAAAGAACTATGTCGAACTGGTAAATTAACTGGGCATAATTGGGTTCGAGAAATATTATATGGCCATCAAATTTGTTGTCATGAAATGTTTTAAATGGAAAAACATGTTTTTCACGCCTTTTGTGAAAAATTAATTGAGCATGGGTTGAAGGTAACTAAAAATATTGGAGTTTTAGAGATGGTTGTCATGTTTTTAAATGTTGTTGGACACATGATAGGTAATAGGATGATCCAAGAAAGATTTTAGTACTCTGGAGAAACTATTAGTAGATGCTTTCACAAAGTTTTGATTGCACGTTTGAAGCTATCAATGGAATTGATTAAGCCGTAGGATCCTTTTTTAAGAATATCCATACAAAGATTCAACGTGACTTGAGATATTGGCCTTATTTCAAGGACTGCATTGGAGCGATTGACAGGACTTATGTGCCATGTGTAGTACCTCCTAGTGAGCATAGAAGATTTGTCAGTAAAAAATGTTATACATTTCAAAATATCATGGCAATATGTGATTGGGATATATGTTTCACGTTTGCATTAGCTGGGTGGAAAGGTAGAGCACATGATGCTAGGATTTTTCATGAAGCATTGCATGATTCTTCGTTCAAATTTCCACATCCTCCGTAGGTTTGCATTATAACTAATAATTTTTATTTTGCATTTGACTTGTTCTAATTGGTTATATTTGTTTTTATATATCTCATTTTTATAAAACATTTATGGTTAGGTAAATATTATTTGGTTGATGCTGGATATCCAACCCCTCTTGGATACTTAGGACCTTATAAATGTGAACGGTATCACCTTCCTAATTTTAGGCGAGCTACCAACTTTAATAGCGACAATAAAATTTATAATTATTTACATTCTAGTTTGCAGGGGACCATAGAAAGAACATTTGATGTATGGAAGAATAGATTTGCGATACTAAACCGTATGCAAAAATTTAAATATTCAACTCAAGTTCAGATAGTTATTGCTACAATAGGAATATATAACTTTATTAGACAAAATAGTCTCATTGATGCTGAATTTACAAGAATCGATTCTAAAGAGAATTTCATCAACACTGATGATGAGTATGACAATGATAATGATGCAAGTCTACTTGAAAATATGCCATCATCTAGGTCCTCGCCATATATGGATCAAATATGAGATTTAATCAGGGATGAGATTGCTGAAGCTTTTGTGAAGAATTAGTTATATTATAGTATCTTAACATATGTAATTGACAAGTTGTAACATACTTGTAGTGCTTGAATCATATTTGAACCTTCTTTTAAATTCTGAATTATATTATTTTGTAAACTTATTAAGGATATGGAAATTTAGGATTGCGATTTATCTTTTATTTTTATTTCTTTCAATCCTTTTCTATGAATTTATCTGGTTATTGAATCAGCATATGAATTTTAGACCCAGTTACTAATTATCTAGTTTTTATTTAAACCAATTCATGTTTATTTTGTTTTGATCAATTTCAAAAATCAAAACTAATTGCAACTAAAATATCAATCACTAATGAAAATAAAAATAAAATAATTGACACAATCTGAACATAATAAATTATGTTAAAAATCATTTGTTCAAACTAATTCATACCTCTTTTAGTAATTTTCTACTAAAAGTTATCTTTTTTATATCATTCAAACATAACAAATTATGTTAAAAATCACTTTTCAGCAAACATACTCAAATAAAAACAGATTCTACACATAATGAATTCTATACATAATTAATTCTATACATAATCAATTCTTTAAATAATCTAATTTTTATAGCTATTCCAAATATGCTCTAATACTAATATTTTATTCATTTATTTGAATATCAATTAAATATAAATATATAAGTAAAAAATATTAATTTAAATTTTTGAATTAAGTTTTGTTAATCTATATTCAAAACATTTTTGATCTTTTTGCTAACAAAAAATCTACTCTATTTTATAGGATTTTGTTAACACTAATCTTTAGGATTGAGTTTAAGTTTTTAAAAATAAAAAGTTTTTATTAAAAAATAATGCATGTATTATATTAAAGTTATAAAAGTGTAATAAATAATTTTTATTTTAATAAAATATTATTATAATTAATTATTTACTCTTAGTCCTAAGAGTTAAAATTAATATGTTATATTTTATAATTTTTTTTATCTTATCTTCAAATGAATAAATAAAGTATTAATGTTAAATTTTTTTATTTTTTTATTGTATATCAATTTATATAAAATATTTTAAAAAAACTTTTTTATAAGAAATTTTCTATATATTTGAAATTGATTTATGTAATTAACATATCCTTATAGGAATATATTTTTTACGTTTCAATCATTATTAATAAAACCTTATCAACACTTGAATTTTTAAAAATCCTAGAGTTATCACCTTCACCTCTTAACCGAAATAATGAAGAAGTCCACACACATAATGAAAGGAAAGAATAAACTCCCTGTGTATATCTCCTCCCACTGTTTTGGACCACACATGTATAGTCTAGGAAAATCATTTTTCCATTGTTTTGGACCAAGTATATATAGCCTGTTAAATAAAGTCATTTTCCATAGTTTTAGACCACGTATATCTTTTCCCACTATTTTTGATACGAATAAAGGAATACATTGTACACGCGTAGTGTGACGACAAGCAAAAACCCACCAAATAGATTAATTTTGAGACAGCTAAATGAAATGGGCATCGTACGAAGATTTTGTTCTAGTTGGAAACTCCACCAAGTTGTTAGATTAAATAGCAGGAACAGATACAGTTATAGTTCCTTTAATAAATCTGTTGATCCCCCAAACCCATCATGTTCCAATTCCTTCCTCACTCATGGAATCCACGTGTTTCACTGCCCTGTAAGCCGCATTCTCCATCTCTTTCTAATCTTCCAACGTTAATTTTCATATCACCGTACAATGTCAAGTGAATTCGTTTTATGATAGGATTCTGTTGGAATTGTTGCCAAGTTATCGGATTGCATTGCCTCTAGGGGAGGCAACATTCTCGCTGCTGATGTTTTTGTACCTCAAAATAAACAAGTCTTCTACTCTAGAACGTATACTCTCAATATCGTCTTTTTATATGCATCTTGTTTTACACACAGTACAATTTATGTTGGTCATTACTGCAGTGTTTTCGTTTTTGATCCTGTTACATGGCCTCGATTGCAAATGGAGGAGGATTTCCTAAAGCTCTCCAAAACATTCAGTGCCATGAGATCTGTTATAAGGGTGCCAGCTCTGGATCCTAAATATAAGATTGCTCTTCTTGCATCAAAGCAGGTATGGTTTGTTAATGTTCTTCTCATGTTATCTTATCAATACATTATTTGATTTTAGTCTCTATATTTAACAAAAATGACGTAATCTTAGTCTTTATGAAAGGATAAAATTATGTGATTTTTATAATTTTTAAATATTAAAACTAAATATTTTTTATATGAATTAAAACAATTAAACAAAAATGGTGATGTTTTTAGGGATCAATTGCTTGTTTAAGTATATATGTGTGTGTGTGTGATAAGTAAAGCTTCTCTTTATTGTTGCAGGACCACTGCCTGATAGATTCATTGCATGGATGGCAGGATGGGAGACTCCCAGTGGACATCACTTGTGTAATTAGGTGGAATTTCAGAAAGTATATGTCTCTTTTATTTTTTTTATTTTTAATCTTTTTGTTATCATCTTATGTGATGCATTCAACAGTAACCATGATAGAGGTCCAGAAAGCGAAGTGATTCGTTTTCTTGAAATGCACGGTACTCCTTACCATTATTTAAGAACTACAACAGAGAATAAAAGAGAAGGGGAGATCTTGGAGCTGGTTAGAAATACTGATTTTTTAGTGCTTGCGAGGTATATGCAGGTAAATAACTTATTGGAGTTCAGGCTCTCTTTATGTTTATCACTGTTTCAATATTTAACAGTTTGTGGTGTAATTGTTTTACTCTTGAAAATAGTAAGGCATTTTATCTACAGAATCGACTCTTCTCTACCGGTATAAGATGGAAATATAAGTGTTATTTATGATTATCATCTATAGTGTTTGCTAAAACGATTGTGATGATGCCCAGTATTAAATTGAAGAGTAACATGGATTCATTCTTTTTTAAGTAATTTTTTCATTGATTTATTTGTGCAGATATTATCCAGCGTCTTCCTAAGGAGTTATGGGAAGGATATAATTAACATCCACCATGGCTTGTTGCCATCATTTAGGGGTAGCAATCCATCTAAACAGGTGGTCTTCCTGTATTTCATGGGTTAGATATTTGCCAATTACTAACAATTTGTTATGTGTTGTTCGGTGTTTCCTTGCTAATTATGTGAGAACGTGTTTAATATGAATGATTATCTCTGCAGGCCTTTGATGCAGGTGTGAAATTAATCGGTGCAACATGTCACTTTGTGACTGAAGGACTTGATGCTGGACCTATAATTGAACAAATGGTGAGCATAATTTTTTAGTACTTGTTTATTTTTTAATTACATTTTAATCAATTAGTTGGTTCCTCTATTACATTTCATGAGAAAGTATGATGAATTAGGTGGATGTCATTTGTTTACTTTTAACTTTCTTTGATGGTGGAGAGTAGGATTTTTGACAAGTGTTTGTTTTTCTGTTATACGTGCATTGGTGTCATTATTGAATTAGGTTATGGGGAAAGAAAACATGTATTGTGCTAGCCAAATCTCAAATTTGACTTCAGTTTTAACATCATGCGAGATTTATGTTATTTGAAGTGAATTTCTTTATAGATGCTCATAGAATTTTGGTCTTGTCCTATTTTAAAATAAAGGACATTTATTTGACTACTAGATGTAATAAAATAAGCATTCATATAGCACAGCCTTAAGCACTAATTCGATAACATATGAAGAGTGATTAGTCTTCTTGGAATTGGGCTTAAAAGCTTGTCATTTTGTTCAAAATGCTCGAAGTAATTTAAATTTGTGCATCTCTTACTTATATTTTCAACCAACCGTGGAACTTCTTTAATTTTTAACAAACTGGTTGAATCTCAATTGTAGGTTGAGAGAGTTTCCCATAGAGACAACTTGCAGAGCTTTGTGCAGAAATCAGAGAACCTTGAGAAACAATGTTTGTCAAGGGCTATCAGATCTTATTGTGAGCTTCGACTATTGCCATATGAAGAAAAGAATACCGTTGTATTTTAATGGCAAACAACAATTATAATGTACCCAAATGAGTGCATCTCTACATGTTTGTATAATTGTTTACTTGAAAAGCTCGTATTATTCCACTTCATTTGCAAGAATGATATGTAAAAAGGAAAATGCTAAAAGAATAAAGATGACCAATGTGATATTCAAATATCAATCATTCTAAAAAAAGTATAATTCATGAATCCGAATTTATGCATTCACAATTCTTGTCCCAAAACTTAATCCATTAAGCTAACTCTAAAGAACAACAATCTAACAAGGTGGATTCAAAATTAAATTTTCAGTGCTATTTTTCTTGTGGGGGTAAATAAAAATCTAGGAGGTTAAGAGATACTCGGTTTAGCACTTAATTTTTAGTTTTTAAAATCATCTATCATTCGAGACATAATATAAATCTCTATTAACAGAAACTATTGTGATCACATAAAAATGGTGATTGAGTGATTTATTTTCAGGGTTATACGTTGTAGTTTTGGACTTTGGCACTCATCTTTTAATAAAAGAAGCTATTCTCAGCGGATAATTTAACTAAAAGAAAAAGGAAGACGTTGAATACGAAAATTCTGACATGTTAAACAATTTTTAGCACTTATTTGTCGGTAACAAAATCGTCTAGGCAACCCCTGCAATTGACATTGTTCGTTTGCTACTGTATTGTAGAGGAAGAGCACTTTTAGGAGTTTAATTATTTGGCAAAATTCTATATATTCAACTTATGTAGAGCCTTGAACATATACAATTAATCTTATCTGACTCAAATCGAATTAACCGGATCTCCATGTCCGGATACAGGGCCTAGACCAAAAAAAACGGCATATACAATGAAAACAAAATCATGTGCTGCTACTAATATTTAAAAATTCAAGAGAACGCTCTGTTCCTTCAACAGAGTTGACTCGACGAAGTAAAAACTCTACCCCATCAACCCATTTTTGCTTGTGGTGTTTGCTCTCACACTTAAATTCTAGAAGACCTTGTGCAGTTTTGAGTCCAAAATAAAGCTCCTCTGACGCTTCCCTTTCTTTTCTATAAGGCCATGCAGTTTCTTTATCACAGACTCCATAAACGACAGCTGCTACAACACACGTTACACAGAATTAGAGTTTTAAATTGCATTGTTGTTAAAGAGTTTTTTAATACTAGAAACGCTCACATTTATTCTTCTTGGAGAAGGCTCCTCCAACGTGCTTGCTTTTGATCTTAATTTTGACCTGAAAAACAAAATAAAACTAATTTCTTATCTTCGCGAAAGAACCCGCCACCACACGAAAATGCGCTTGTTTGTTGTTAGGCCTGGATTAATGTACCTGACATTTCTTGTTGATGTAAACATGGACATGTTTCCATCGTAATGCACCTGAAATAATAAAGCAAAGCAACCTTAGAAACAGTGAATTTGTGTTGAAGACTCAGGTAACTCATTATAAAGAGTATTCTAGTCATATTAATAGAGCAAATTACACGCGTTCTTAAAGCAATTACCTTTTTCAGTGACCTGCAACAAATCCCCAACGCATGGAGGATAACGCTCCCGCATTTGTCCCTCAAAAGCAGGAACCCAATGCGTTTCTGCTATCACCTTATCATAGGGACTTATAGACGCATTCTTCTTCGCCTCTTTTGGCAATCTTGCTGTCAAAGCTGCTTCTGCTCGCAAAGCTGAATTAAACAATGTTGCAGGAAATGAAAATTGAATATTCATAAACAATTTTCAACTAGAGAGATTGAAAAAGTACCTGTTGCAGCTGCAGCTGTAAGAGTCATTAGATCACCCGGCGTTTGAATATCAACCGCAGACCTCACCGTGGAAGCTACGCGCTCATGATCTGCGCCAGCTTGCTCTGCCATTTCAACGCAATATGATGCTAAGAGTTGGGTGGCAGAAGCCAAAGCAACGTCCAATTTAGAATGAGAGCCACCTCCACCACCAGGGTCCTCTGTTGCAGCCACAGCAGCCAAGGCTGAGGCTAGTCCTGCTATAGATAGCGCAGAATGCACACGCGCATTTTCTAGACGCGCCCGGTCTTTCCTTTTTGTGATGTATGTATTTCCATGCTGCTTCTGATGTAACCATTTTCCAATTGTTCCCATCCTTCGACAATTACTGGAAGGTATGATCTTTCCTGGCTGCAAAAGAGGCCCACAACACATAGTGCATGTTTGGTATGAGATTAACTCTAAAAAATAATCGCTTATTTTTTTAAAAAAAAGTTGAATCAAACACGCACTTAGAATACAATACATCATGCATGCATTTTTTAATATCAATTTTGTTAGTTTTTTGTTGTTTTTTTTTTTTAAATTATCTTGTGACCTTGTTAGAAAACAATAGGTAATATAATGCATTAATACTGCTAAAATAATTTTTTTTTTTGTAATGCATTATTATCCTGTGGCATTGTTCATTTAATCAATTATTGATGCAATAATGCAAATGGGTATGAGGGGAAGGGGAAAGTTGGAGGAGGAGGAGATGGCATACTGCTAATTGAGGTGCAGAAATGGTTTCTGGCAATGTGTCTGGACTCTTATCGAGAAACGTTTGCTTTTGTTTCTCTGAGAGAGCCTTTGAAATTTCCGAAGCAGAGAGACTCCATGACCTGGATAAGAACTCCATAGGCTCACGAGGTGTGGGTGGTTCAGGTATTGCTGGCAAGGATGACACCATTTTGAATTGCTCATTTTCCTGCACATCCTCTAACTCTAACCCATGACATGACCCATTTTTCCAAGATGGAAATAAACCCCCTTCCATTTTTTTCGTTCTAACTAGTTCAATTCTGAATGCTCCAATCACTTGAAAATTGTAATCGTTGTGTGTACGATTTTGTCCAATAGCTGTTACATTTATAGGCACGCAACAAAGAACCAAAAGGGTTAGTATGTAAAAAGCTAAGTGATAGCTAGATTCCAGAAGACAGAAGTAAAAGTGAAGGCTACAAGATGTTTGAATACTGTTTCTGTTTGTACTTAGTATAGAGCAACAGAACAAGATTGGTACTAATAATCCATGCCTAACTATTCAAAATCTCCACTGAATTGATCTTATATATAAAAGATGAAACAAGAAAACCCAAGAAAAACTTCAGCCAAATCTCTAGGCAAACTTCAAAAGCTCGCAGAGTTGAATCTATAAACTTTGATAATCTAAGAGAATAAATTTTAAAAATCCCAATTTAGACCTCAACAAATTTCAAAAGCAGACTATTTGATAAACCAATTTGTAGTCCCAAAAGAAAGAATTTGAGAAGAAACCTGCTTAATTTCCGAAGCCTGCACCCTCGATGAAGAGAAGCTAATGTTAAGACCAAGCTGGTAGCTTCAGTCTCAAATAAATGAGATAGGACTTGGAAGCAACGAAGAAGAAGAGGAATAGATTCCAAGAACACTGATCGAAGTCTTGTGCTCTGAACCGCCACAAATTCAGGTGGAACGTGGAAGATAATTAAACAAAACAAGACAGACAGTACAGTATTTACTAAGGTTTGAAAAACTACGTATGCTGTAAATTTAAGAAAACATAATCCTGGAGAACCGGGTATGGTTCATGCAGGGCACTCCTGTCGATAACGCATAATTTTTTTAGGAAAATGATTTTGGAGCACAAAAATTTAATGCCTTTATTTTTGTGGTGGGCTTTTGAGACACTGTATTTTAAAAAGATAAAAATAATTATATGTTTTTTTGGATGTATAAATACAATGTCACGTATGACATTAATATTTTCATGTTCAAATAATGTAATTATTTTTTATAAAGTAGAAAAAGTACATGGATATAGCAAGAACTAATGGTAGAAGAATACTTGGACGTGTGATGTGTCTTTTTATAACGCGGATTTAGGGCGCTACGTACGTGTACTTTCAGTTGTTGGAGATTGGAATAAAATGTATGCACTGTGCAGTGCAAGACTGGTCAATGACGGTGGAGGTCGGTGTTGTTATCTTCCTTCTCTCATTCATTCCCAGCTCCCCTCTCTTCTACGATCTTTAGATAACCAGTCACTCATTTGAGAATTTAAAATTAAGGTGCAATACTCATAAAAGGGAGGGAAAATCACAGGATCGTGTTTTTTCCTTCTATGTCTTTATAATGCTTCAATGCGCCAAAAAGTCCTTGCATTGGTCTTTCCATATTTGGATATAAATTTAAATTATGTTTAACATTAAATTCATTAACATGTGATCTATTCTAAAATTAAAAATGTTGAAACGTGATTTTAATAAATTTTTAAACATGTTTTTAGATCCTCAACAGCTTTTTGTTTTAGTAGTAAAATATACCATTAAATATGTATTTAATGGTTATAACAACTCTTAGTATTTATATAATTAGTCAATTTCCCATTTTAAAACAATTAATATAATTTTACTTTAACAAAGAAGCTGGAGAGAGAGAGTAGTCGGAGAGAATGTAGATTTTTTTGGACATGGATTGGATAGGAGATCCATGCAAAACGAGTAGGATGAATCAATTTTTTTTTGGGCAATGAGGTGTGTCTCCGTCTTAAACGAATGCCACAAATTTGAAGTTTTGAACTATCGATAGGGATAAGACTCCAGTCCAATGAACACTAAATGGAGTTTTGGAAGTACTGATAAAGGTAAGACTCGAATGCAAACACAAATAATAAGTAACAACATTGGTACATTAGCGCACATGTCCAATATTATTTGAATAAAACAGCACTTCTTTTAGTTATATAAATAGAAAAAGAAAAAGCTGCAAAACTTGTTTGGTTCGACCTGTTCCTATCATTCAACTGAGTAATGCTGTTTAAAACCAAGGATGTCACACGGATCCAATTACACAGAAACAAAAGCAACCATATAGAAGAGTATTTGCAGGTCTCGAGAAAAGCTAGCACAGAACAACTATCCAATATCCATCTAGCTTACCCGTGCTGTCCCATATATGTTATGTATAAACCTAGAATTCTGTGACAGTCAAATGCAGTGTGCTAAATTAATCTCCAATTGTTAATATCACATGAGATGAACAAGATATTATATTAACTTTTTGCCATGAATGATATGAAAAAACAATACTTTGGAGTTACGCCATAGTCGTATTATAAAGCAGAAAAGAGAGAGAGGTGTAAGAAATGTGAAAAATAAGTTACTCGAATCATATATAGCATATAATAATATATATGCCACAACATAATATAGTGTGAAATATTTTTAACAATTCTTCGATATGCACGACTACGTCGTGTTTCAATAAGATAAATCCTCTACGAGTGAAAGGTTGTATAATATTTGGTTTTTGTCTTAATATAAAAGAATGAAAAGGAAAAAAAAATGGTTTGTGGAGAATTAGCTTTACTTGGATTTAGTCCGAATAGTTAAGTTTATCTTTCATGATCTTGACATTGTAATTTCACCTGATTATATTTAAAATTCCCACAAGAAAGCGAAATAACTCTGAATAGGAATTTTTTTTGTTTTTGTTTTTGTTTTTTGGCTATTATAGGAATTTGTTTTTATCCACCCCACCTTAGTATAATTGTATAAAGTAGATAATACAAAAATTGAAATCAATAAATTACTCATTAATCGGATTAGATTGAGAAATTTACTTTCATACTTAAAAATCATTGTAAGAAATAAATATTTTATTTTATTTTATATTTGAAGTGCCTTGGAAATAAATGGCAAACATTTTTTATTTTACATTTTAAAATTAATTAGATTAAGTAGAATAAACAAATAAATACGGATATTATTATAAATTTAATAATTAAAACTAAATAAAATTCACTCAAATTCAATAATGTCTGGATATATGTCTATTAACTCCAAACGCGTTCCGAATTCAGAAGTTAAAATTCTGTAACATCTAAGTGATCGTAAATTTGGTGAAATATGACGTGAAACTAAATGCATGCTAAATTTGAGTAGAATAACAAATACACACAACTTAAATTAGTGACTCATGAAAAATTTCATAATCCAATTAGTTTTGTTTAAAATATTATAAATAGAATCAATTCTTAAAAGCAGTGATTGTAAGCATGCTTGATGAATACAAGTGATACCATACACATCAAAACATTATTTACTGTCATTATTTTTTTTATATTTAAGGATCAAAATACCTATTTTTGATATAAACTTATGAAAATACGACCAACATCAATTAGTCCAAGTGATAAAGGGTTTCATTTTTTAAAAATAAATAAGATTTTAAATTAAAATTTTGTGTATTAAACAAATATTAAGAGAACTTTATTTTCTCAAGTGAGGACTCCTAATTCGACTCGAGTCAACGAAGATATAAACATGAGAAAAGAAATTAGAAAATGTTAAATATTGAGTTGTTCTTTTAGACAGACTTCTAGGGTATAGTATTATTCTCTATCTTATCGAAGCAGTACTCGTACAAAATACGAATACTAATTCAAGAAATGTTACAAGATTCTTCAGACTAATTTATTCTTATGATAGGAAGGTATTAATTCAAACTACGTGTCTTTTCATTTTCTCTTTTATAAAGCAGAATTATGTAAAGGTCACTTTGAATGAATTGTTTTCGTGGCAACAGCAGGCATTCGCTTTCAATGGGCCATTCTGAAAAGTAGTAATCACAGGCTGTTGTTGAGCCATTTGTAGAACAAGAATGTGTCGATGTTATAATGGAGGTTTTATCGTGCAAGTTAGGCGCACAAATACACAATTCATGTGACAATGTCTTATAGCACAACTGGATGTACTGACACACATCTTCAACCTAAATATAAATGAAAATTACATCTTACCAACTAGTTGTTCGCATCGGTCAACAAAATTCAAGTGCATATTTGCGGTATATGCACCATAAGGCATCTCAATTTCTATTCCCGATAGAATTTAAATGCTTTATAAGTGGCCCCATAATTTTTACAGAAAATTTATTCTTATAATTTTGTATAATTATTTTTATGACTAAAAGAAGATAAGAGAAAAATGTGTGGAATAAGATAATTGAAGTAAAACAATAAATTAAAAAATATTTTAAAAAAATGCATGTAAAAAAATATATATGATACTTAGTCGGAACCACCATTATGACGATCGGAATCGTATTACCTGTCGGTTACATGATATTTCGAAGCAACCGCGTGCCCTCTAACCAGATACAAACTCTTTCTTTCAAGTTTCGTGTTTGGCCATTAATCACTTATGCTCACTGTTTTGCGTTTGGACAAAGGAGTGAATGAATGAGAAGAGAAGAAAATTGAAAATTTAATCCCTTTTCTCTCTCCCTCGTCAGAATCAGGTCCAAAAATAGGAATCTTTTAGTATTGGAAGACATTGAAGGATGCGAAGTGGGGCCCAGCGACTCATCTTCATGCGTGTTGCTATTCCAGGAACAAGGTTTTGATATAGACTTAGTGATGAAAAAGAGCTGCTCAAAATTTGTGGATTTGGATTATTGAAAGTTCGTTTAATGGGTTTAATTGTAATAAATGCAAATCCCAACTTTCTCAAAGTGGTGAGATGCGGTTTGTTGACTCTGAAATAGGGCTTTCATCTCATTTCGTGCATCTAAAAAAAAAAATTCCGAGGAAAATTTTCATCTCCCGGCTCTTGTTGACCTGTTCTAATATTTATTTCGTCTCACTAGTTTGGTCAAGTATACATTTTGTATGAAATAATATTATACTTATATTGATCTCATCTGTTTGGAAATATATACTGTAGAATATATATCAGTTTTAGTTTCATCTTTTTTTTAATATATAATGTTAGAATATATATATATTATTGGAGTTCAAACTATTAATTTTTTATAAAATTCAAGTTGAGCAGGATTAAGGTTCATAAATATCCTTGTTTACTATTAAAACATTGATGTCTTTTTCTCTGAGGATATTTGAATTTTTGGGATTTGTCTTTCCAAGGGAATAAGACCTTAGCGGCTGTTAGTAATTATTCTATTTATTTATTTTATCTGTTTGTTTAAGATGATAACATGAACAAAAAGAAATGTAATTAATATCTTCATAGATATTAAAATTATTTTTAATTTCTCAATATGACTTTTACTCTCATTTATGTATGTATATAAAATAATTTTAAAATATTTAAAGATAATGACATAGTTGAAAAATTACTTACTAATATTATTTGAATTTCTTAGTGATTAGATAAATAGAGCAATAAAGCAATGCCAGAGCTATAAAGCAATAATATTCCAAAAATGTAGTTATAATGGCGCTGTTTAGATATTGCAGGGTATTGTTTAGATATGAACATGGCACTGATCTTCTTCCTATTCTTCAATTATGCATGGGTTATCCTCACAGTGCTACCGCAGAATCCTAAACCTTGAAAGTATCCCAATTTCAAAACATAATTGTCTCAAAACTATGCTGCTAGCTGTTCGAATTTGAATTTTGTAACACTTTAAGCTAGAATTAATTACTGAGGGTCCACAAGGTTCGATTTCGTTCTATATGAACAATAAGACATCAACATCAAAATATCGATGGACCATTAATATAGAATTTAGATCCAATCTTGTTACTAAATAATATTAAATAAAAAAAACACAATTTTTTTTATTAAATAAAGACTACTTAATTGATTGTAAGTTCAATAATTTAAGTTGATAAAAATTATATCTTCTTCTCTCCAATATCATCTTAATAATACGGGATGATTCAAATCCATTAATATCAAATATTAATCATAGTTTCGAGTAAGTGGTACTAAAGATTCTTCATATAAAATATCGAAAATACTTTAAACATCACCAGTCTGGGGCAGCGTATATTTCACAAATATAATGAGCTGCACACAAAATTAACTTTGTCACGAACAATGCCACCTCCCTAGAGCCTCACCAACACGAATTCTATCCCCGCCTTTGACACAGAACTGGAACTCTTGAGATGAATCGCCCTCGTGGAGTTTCGAAATTGGAGCTTGGAAAACAAGCACAACTGTTGATCCCATGTTGAAAGCACCTAACTGGGGTAAAAAAAAAAGCCACAGAATTACATCATGCCAAATCTAATTGATAGCTCATTGCTCACAAGTAGTTTAAGCAGAGTAAACGAAAAGGAACCAAAATTCAACAACACCTCTACAACTCTACAAATTCTTAAAAAAAAATTACGAGGTTTTCCAAGTATACATTTTGTAGTTTGTATTTATTTGAATTTTTTACAGTGAATGGAGCACATAAGTTCCAAAAGACAATTAAATCACACTTCTAACCTCATCTCCTTTTTTAAGCATTCTACCAACACCTTCACATTCATAAACCCGTTCTTCAGGGGGCTCTGAATGTAGAAACTTCTTCATTGGCTTGTTTGTCTGAAGTTCGGGCTCAATGAAAAGCTGCAATGTTAGAGTTTAAACTGAAGACATTAGTGAAAAATCCAGTCAATCACAGCATATTACAAGTCATCCCAGCCAATGGGCTATCTTTAAATATTGGATCTGCCGGCTTTTATTTTTTTAACTTATTATTATTATTATTATCTTTAAAAGGAAAACTTGCCGTTGGATGCATGAAAACTCATACAGACAAGCATAATTGCATGTGAAAGCATGTTTAGTGAACTTATTGGGAAATAAAAGTAAGATTTACAAAATTAACAACTAATTTAGTCTTTTCCCAAATCGCTAACTTTTACAATATAACCCTAATTTTTACTTAGGACATTATTATTTGCATCCTTAAGAAACTGTGGGCAAACCTCAATTGACCCAATATTTGTGGCACCAATTGCAGCAAGTGCCATAAACCCTTCCTGCCATAGACCTTCAAGAATAACCTGAACAATTTGTAGAGTGAGAGTCAATAGTCAGGACTCCGTAGGTAATCATAAATTGAAGAGTGAAAGAATTTAATCAGAGTGTCATAACATAAATCAAGTCCACTGAGAATTGTAAAGGTAAATAACATCCAAGGCAAAATAAAGGTTATAATTTGAGAAGACCGATGTAATGAACTTATTTATGAAGAAGGAACCATTAGCTACTTGAGCCATTAATCCTGTTATAAAGTGGTGGATCATTAACGATTTTATGACAGGACTCACTACCTGGTTAATGGTAAATAGTAATTCTCTCCAAAATAAAATCAAGACAAGGGCAAAAGAAAAGATTAGGAATTTTCCCGAAGGTCATTTGGAGTATTGTTTACACCTAGAGAGAATTCCACGCCTGCCAGAACTAAAACTCATCAAATTTAATTACTTCCCTGGAAAAATATTCAAATGAGAAAAATAGGTAAATTCAGAGAAAGGCTTGCATTTAGACAACAAGTGGAACAGCTTGTAGTTTATTTTAAGAAATAAATTCATTTTTCGGGAGCATAACTTTTCAAAGTTATAGATCAATGTAGAATTGAGGAAAAAGTCTTCAATTTCTATTTAAATTGCAAAAATAAATGATAAAATAAAAACATGAGACATTGAAATGAAAACTGATAGAAGACAGGCACAATTTGCAGACATTGCCATCAGATATAAATTACCCTCTCATTCTCTATATAGAGATTTCTAATTGTTCTTGTAGCACGTTCATTCAAGGGATAAAGTCGGCCTGTGACATAAACAATAAATCAAACAATTAATTAATGCGCTGCATGATAGCAAACATATGCAAAACTTGAAAACCTACAGTTGTACTTCATTATTTTCTCCCACTGGTTCAAATAATTATTTTCATAATATGTATAATGAAGGGGTAGTTTTGATTTGCAGAGCTTTATAAAACACTTATCCACCCTAAATCTAAAACTGCACCTGGACCCATCAGCAGCAATCAAACATAAAAGGTGCCCCAGAGGAAGAGAAAAAAGGAAGAAGAATAAGAACATGTTTGTTTCCCTTTTTAAAAACAGTTTTCTGTTTCTAAAAATAAAATACAATACAATACAAATTTATATTGTATTTTATTTTTTTAAATAGAAAACTGTTTTTAAAAAGAGAAACAAACATGCTCTAAGCAATTTGAAATGAAGAAGCCACATATGCAAGTTGTAATGAAGTTTTAAGATTGTTTCCTTGCAAGGTATATTCCTAATGATCACTGAAAGAAATTACTTGGCTGTCTAAAAAAACAGAAGAGAGCATAACTAACAATGAATTAGCTTTTCTTTAACTCAAGAACTAACATATATTATATGATATATGGTGAACTAATCCACATTCCTTTTGGAAGGGTTTCTGTTATGATTCAAGCCCACAAGAGCTTATCCCAAAAAAATGCCTTATTGGGTGATAAAGCTTCATAATAAGTATCACATTGAATGTATTTCTTGGCTCATTGCAGACATATACTGTTGAATTTAGGTTTTAAACTTAATTCAACCCCAAAAGCTAGTTCATAACATTGGAGGGTCAGGTTAACTGCCTTGGGAAATTCGTAAGGCCAGATTTATCTTTTTATGTCAAGGGTGGCCTAATATCAAATTTATGATAGACTTTGATACTATATTTAATTGGGGCTTAAAGTCTAACTAAACCCCAAAATCTAGTTTGTAAGGTGAGAATTGTTTTTTTAGCCTTTATAAGCTCTCATTTAGTCATTCTATAGTCAATGTGAGATTTCAACACAAAATCTTTCAAATGCTAGGATTTAGAATGACCACTTTAGGGATCCATTTAGGATGGCTTTCACTTGGATCCTTGTGATGCAAGTAGCCTTTTCTTTGGTTGCTCCTTCCCAATTTGCATCCACTTTAGGCATCAATTGCCATAATCCAAGGCCCTGTGGAGAGTCCATCCCCAAAAAATTGCATATTCATATGAGAGAGTTTCAAGGCTCAAGTACTAAGCCTCTAACTTTGCTCAATGATGGATGTAACAATTTGGTCGTAACAATAAACACAGGTTCAGTGATATAGTTATACAAACAGTTAAAACAGATTAGCACAAGGTATTATTCTCAGTTTATTAAGCTGTTAAGGCTTGTATAAGATGGTTTACCAGAAAAATGCCTGCGTACTAGAATGTTCCAGTCAGCTGGGGAGTGTATCCGATGGTAATCTCCAGGCTTCAAGTAAATCACACAGTAAAAAAGGCCTCTCTTTGGGCTGAAATGGGAAATTTTAATGATGTATGGACCGTCAGGCACTACATTCAGTTTCTTTAACAACAAAAATTAGCAAATACATTGCTTTTCCAGAGATCAATGCAAAACAATCATATACATATATCGCAAAAAGGTTACATTTTTGGTAATATGCGTAAAATATATCAGCACGAAATGCATGCTTCTAAACTCTGAAGGCAATAAGAGTATTAAGATACAAAATTTGCATGTTATGTAGTTCAAAATTCAAATTACTCTTAAAGTTTGCTTTACAATGAAGAGAAATGCTAGCAATATACTCCAAAAAACACTCTTGGTTATTAGCTGTTTTTTAAAAAAATTACAAAAATCACACAGGTTTCACTCTTAATTTAATGATTCTCTGGTATACTTTTGTAATTTTCAATAATTTTTAACCAATAATTAAAAGTGTGTTAAAAAAGGGGTGTTTATGTTTCTAGCACTCCTCTATAGTAAAACACTAATACAAACCACGCTAAAAAAGCAGGGCTCATTTCTTGAAAACATGACAAAAAATCGTTGTTTTTTATTAAAAAGAAGAAATTTTCTCGTTATGATTTTACAGCACTCTTAGGCTCTTATTCTATCAAGTCAAGCAATCCTGCTTTCTATTACAGCTAGGCTGCAAGCTTGCTAAATTATAAGTCTCCATTAGTTGAAGCCAATATGCCATAAGTACTCAAATGATGGTTACAAACACCAATGATAATATGTATGGTGAAAAAGAATTACCAGTAGATACATGATGAAGATTTAGGAGTTAATTTGAGAGGATTAACAGATAAACATATCAATCTCTGATTTTCTTCAATAACCATACTTTTTTTAAATGCAAATGGTTAAAACCAGATATAATAAGACATTGGCAGTTGAAAGCAATTAGAAATACATCATCATCAAATTACCGTGATGTTGGGTCCCAAACTTTTGGCGAAGCCAATGAAACCCTCCACCATGATTTCTTGTTCTTCTCAGTAGTAGTTATTGATTCACTGTGCTCCTCTTGCACATCACCATCAGCTGTTGTTGGAAGGGAAGGGCTTGCACCAAGAAGAGAAAAAACAGAATATGAAAACCCTTTTACTTGTTCAATCATTGCCCCTGCTCCCTTCAACTCCCCAAATCTTAAAACTATGCCATCTACAGGACTAACCTGCAGAAAATAATATGGTCAAACAGGTTATGTATCAACTGCAAATGGCACAAACAAAGACATTTGAGATTTCCAAATAGCTGTTACCAGTTACCAGACACTGTGAATAAGCATCAATAGGCCTGGAACCTTCTTTCAAAGCCCGACCAAAGAAATCCCTTAAAGAGGTATACTTGTCTAGAGGTAAAGCAGCTTCTTCCAAATCTGAGATGTCCATAGGGATTAGGAATTTAGGATCATATTTACACAAATTTTAGATCATAATTTATCTTATCATGAACAAATTCTGCCAGTTTCATGATATGATGGTTACAGGAGCATATTAAAAGGAAATAAAGAATACATTAACATTAAAACAAAGGGGGAAAAGTTATCATACTTGAATGGAATGCTCGAGCCCAAGCTTTATAAACATACGGCCTTAGCCACACTGGTATTTCCTGAAATTTTTATGAAAAAATAAAGTCATAAAAATAATATAAACATGCAGAATCATTTTCAAATTTAATAGTGTCAGATTCAAATTGATAGAAGGAGAGAGAAAAGTACTATATAAACAAATATAGTTAGAAATCTTGAAAAATATGCTGCATTGATTTTTATCTTCTTGTACTTTTTTTTTTCTAATTAGGATCCCTGTTCAGCTTGTCCTCCTTTACTATATACATTTCCTCTTTTTCTTCTCATAATATTGCTTTTTTCTCACAAAAAAGAAAAGAAAAGAAAAGAGTCAATTGTTTATTTCTACATCAGGTCTCTTATGCTTAAACAACTCAAAATATTGTTTCTCTGTGTTCTTACTACCAGTTGCAATGGATGTGTAACATAATTGCAAGCACAACAAATAAGATTACAACTTAATAAATATATATTAAAAAAAGGATACTCAAATATAATGTTGACTTCTTACCATGCTTGTCAAGTATCCCCAACATCTAGAAATTGAACGCAGAGGCAGTATTCTCAAAAATGTAGCCTAGTGTTGACAAGGTCATAGCACACATCTCAGAGTTGAAACAGATATGTGTAATGATACACAAACAATTCAACTTTTTTTGGGGGGTAGAAGGGAGGGTGAGGGGGTGGGTAAATGTAAAAAGTTTACCTTTACATCAGGTTGGAACTCCAACTCAATTCCTTTCTCCCTCATCTCTTCAGTCTGCCACAGGGGTAAACAATTTTATTCTGTAGTGTATGTAAACTACAAATCAAATAAGGGCTACAATTTCAATTAAGCAAAATAACACAAACAGAAAATCCTACAAATGAAATGTGAAAAATTTTCCAGTATCATGACTGAAAACACTGTTCAAGAGTGGTACAAACAGAAGGCCTCACACATGACAAGTGGTCATCTCTACCAGCAAAGAAGTTGCAACTTCTCATTAGTCTTGAGTGTTAAAGAACATTTTTGTTTTTCATCATTTTTATTTATTTATTTTTGCAGTTCCATAATAACAATAGACTAAACAAAATAAGGAGTAAAAAAAAAAAAAGGACCCGATGGCCTTAATCAATCACTGACAATGACATAGCGCCTGTTTGTATTATCATTTCTCCGACACATTTAAAGGAAGAAGAAGATCGTCTTAATCCAACCACGTTTGTAATGTGGCTGCCAGGATTGGGTTTTGAGCAACTGTGGTTGGGCATAAAACAAACAGGCTCATAGACCATGCAATTGTAAAATACTACCAGATATACCAGCAAACAGACCCCAAGTAGCATGTGAGGGAGATATCGGGGGAGCTGCGGTCTGTGAACCTATCATAGCCAATGTAAGGCAAGCAGAGAAATGCAAAGTAACCACTGATGATGTTGTAAAAAGAATCAGCAGTGCAACCAAAATTTACCGTTGGCTACTACTCTAATGCACATGCATTACGAGTAATCAAATTAAAAAACGTACCTTCTTGTCATCATAGAGTCGTCGGGCATGGAGAACACCAAGCATCAGAATGGTAGCAACTGTTGCCCCAGGTACAAGAAAAGAATCCCCTGCACACTTTCATAGCAATAAGCTCAAAGCTTCTAAACATGGATAGTACGCAAAATATAGCAATCAAGATTATATTAATTCAGACCAGATCATATACTTCGAAAATTTACAATTCTATACTTGTTTCCTTGTAAATATTACGACTATCACAGCAAAACATTCTGCAAAACACTACTCATGTGTACGTGTAGCTTATCATAGTTCAGCATTCAGCTTCAATTTAAGGTTTAGCCAATCGTAAATTTATTCATCGTGTTTACGACAGTTCAACTCGTGCTTTGGCAAGAAGGCGCGTGGACTGAGATGTGAGTGGAGAAGCAACTAACCTTGAGAATTTCCACTTCCGCCATTGACAGAAGCACGAGCTTGAGGTGTTTGAAACTTTTTTGCGAAGGAAGTGAAGCAGCGTGTGTGGTTAAAGGGACGAGTATGGTGCGGGAGTAGAAGGAACCTGTGCGAAACCCTATATTTCATTTTTGCACTTTATGGAAAAGAGATGTATAGTGTTAGTTTTTTAGTCTAAAAGGAGAGCGTTGCGAAATGTAATGTTCTATTTTGATTAACCCACTAGCACAGCGGGGAAGAGTAGCTACGATGCGGCGCTCCGCTTCGTCACTAACAGTTATCTTGGGGTCATTATTTGAACCCCTTTGGTTGTTATACTCAGTACAAGGGTGCGTGTTGTTTCTACATAGATACACGACTTTGGAAATTTAAGATTAGGTAAGATGTGTTTTAATTTTTCAAAAATATTATTTATTATCGTTTTTATTTTTTTTATAATGTGATATGACATGTAAAATTAAATATATTATATTTATCATTAAAATCATATTAAATACGTATAATACACAATAAGAATTGATAATTTACTTTTAAAAAATATTGATTTCATTTAATTTTTAAGATATTAAAATAATTATAATCGTTTTTAAAAAATATACAAAACTTTCTTTCTAAATTTACATATAGCTTAAGTAATAAATTTTATTTTAAAAATTAAAAAATCAATAAAAAAATTTAAAAATAAAAAAATTAAATTAAATTCAATCTTTTTTAAAAATTGTATACCAAGCTACTAAGTGTTAAACGTCTTAAATATTTATTTCAAAAACAGTGATAGACACTTCAATATTTTAAAAAAATTCATTAAAAATACTAAATCAATCTCTAAAATTATAAATATTTTAGATTATAAATTTTTAAAAATAAAAATAGAAATTTTAATAATTTAATTTTAATTATAGTATTAATGATCAGTAAAAAAATTGTTATGAGTTTAATTGACATATTTTTTATAAAAATATAAATTAAATTTATAATTGGTTGAGTTATAAAATTAAATATTTTAAAAATAAGATTATAAATTTCAAAATAAAATGAGAAATAACAAAAATTTAATTTTAATTATAGTATTAATTTCTAATAAAAGAAATTAATTAAAATAAGTTTAATTGACATAACATGCATAAAAAATTAAATTTATAATTATCTGACTTATTAAAATTATAAATTTTTAAAACATTATTAGAAATTGTAAGATATTTATTTTAATTTTAATATTAATTATTCTAAAGATAATCTTAATTATTTTTATATTTATAATCTTAAATATTTTTTAAATTCATAATTTTAGTTTTTTTAAAATCATGATTTTAAATATTTTAAATTTAAATCTTAAGTATTTTTTAAATTTATAAATTTAAATATCTATTAAATTATAATTTTAAATATTTTTAAATTAATGTCACACATCAACATCTCATATAATATCGTATCTAACACATAAATAACAGTATTGTTGTAAAAGTAGAGATAGTCTTATTGTCTAAAAAAAAGATACTTATTCTATATTTCACATTATTTTTTATGAAATCATGTGTTATGATCGAATTCATTGCTAATCATATTTTCGATAGAAACAATTGATAATTAAATTTAATTTTTTTCATAATTTTATATATGTAATAATGTGAAAAGAAATTGTTTAAGAATAGTAAAGTTTGAGTTTCTAGATCCTTTACTTTAAAATTAGTCAATTTTATTTTTTAATAAAAATAAAAAAATAAGTATAATTCAGTGGTAAAATATAATGAAAGTCTATCAGTTTAAAAAATGTCAAGAGTGAATATGATTATGACAAGTATTAAATTATTTTAAAAAATAATATTGGATACATCGAGAAATTTTTTTTAATTAACCCTTTTATGGGAAGTAGTTTTTAAAATTATATTATTTATATAAAAAAGCCTTTTGTGACTGTTAAATGTAAGTATTGCGAAATTGAAATTCCCGCCTTAACCCCTGTACGCATCATTGGCTAACTACAAAGTCCTGTTCAACCAAGTGCAACTTAGCATCGTAAACCGACACTCTTATAAGTAGTTTTGACGCGCTAAGCAAAGTTTGCTGAAAATTGCTAGCAGGCAACAATGGAAGACGACGGTGGAGAGAGTTCGAGTTTCGTGGTCGGTATCATTGAAAACAGAGCGAAAGAGGTTTTGATCTTCGATTTCCTGATAATCATTCGTTTCATTTTTCACGTAATAAAGGAAAATTCAATTGAATGTTCTCTTTTCTCCAGAGTTTTTTTTTTTGTTTTTTTTACTTTGCTTCAATTTTTTCTACTCGATCTAGCAAACTTAAGAGGCATGTCGCCTAGTTGCTTATTGTTTCATCTTCAATTTTTTATGTTTCTACTCTAGTAGTTGATTGTTCGATATTCACATGACTTCCAGGATTATACTGCGCTTTTAATTGTTATTTTTGACTTATACGCGATAGGAATTTCAATCAATCAAGCGGTAGAAACACGAACATAAATTTGATTTCGAATTGCAATGCCAATGAGTGCAGCATAGCTGTTTATATACGATTTGTGTTATTGGAGCGGAAATTAGTTTCATATCAACTTGTTTGGTTATTTTGTTAAGGACAGGTGTACATGGAGGTTAGTTTTGTTTGTATTATCAAAATGTGTAAATGCGTTTTAAGTTTATCTATTCTGTAATTGTTTGATTTTCTCGCCCTAATTCTAACTGGTTCTTCTGGATTATCCGTAAACAGCCAATATTACATGCACCTTTCAGCGTTAAAATTTTTTAACTAAACCTGAACGCCATTTTAATTATTCTATCGTGAAGCTAACTCAATGAATCACCATATTTGCTATTAATGGTGCAAATTATGTTTTCCCCATATTTTTGGGCATCCATCTATTTATTTCTCGATGCTTATATCTAGTCGTATAACCAGTTTGTACTTAGTAGTAATCTGCCAATCAACTCCTTATTCCATGCAGTTCTTTCCCCCATATAATCTTCTAATATTTTTAACATCACAAAAAAATTTGAATCCCTGTGGTATTTGATTACTAGAAAAGATATCTAAAATGCATCCTTTATCACTAACATGATCCTAAACTTGAAACAAGTCAGATTGTTAACACTACTGGAAAAATATGTCTTCCATTAATTTATGACTTATACAGAGGAACTTTTGGTTGTAAGAATTTTTGTAGTGTGCTGAGGAGGATTATAGATGTTGAATAAGAATCAGACAAGGGGAGCTTTATGTTGTATTGTGTTGGTTATCATAAGAACGAACGGGGACGCACCAGTGGAAATTCCCATGTTTTATATTTTTCCAACGTGGTGAAAAATGGATTATTATTTTTTTTTTTTGGAGAGTTTGAATGCATAATTTTAATGATCTTTTATAACAGATTACGGAACTGGTTTCAGACAAATAGATGAAATTTATCATGTCTAACTGGAATCAAATCAATCAATCATCTAACAGGTTGGATTAGCTGCTTTCGATTTGAGGTCAGCTTCACTGCATCTTTCTCAATATATTGAAACAAGCAGTTCATATCAAAACACAAAGACGCTGCTGCATTTCTATGATCCTATTGTGATCATCATTCCTCCAAACAAGTTAGCATCCAAATCTACAGTTGCAGTTACAGATTTGGTTGATAGATTTTATGGTTCGGTCAAGAAGGTAATGTTACCATCTTTCTTTGTCCCTACATCCTTTCCGATGTGCTGTCAGTGAAAAACTTATGTGCATGCTGTCTCTCAGAACTTCATTTTATTTCGAGTTCTTATTTATGCAGGTAGTGCTGGCCCGTGGTTGTTTCGATGACACAGAGGTTTCATTGCATACTTTTGGTCTTTCTGTGGATTTCAAGATTTAGGATGTTTGAACAATTTTTTCTCCCTCATTAGTGCACTGAAGTTTTGTGCTCAGGGCGCTATCTTAATAAAAAACCTTGTTGCCAAAGAACCTTCAGCACTTGGTTTGGACACTTATTACAAGCAGTACTATCTCTGCCTGGCTGCTGCTGCTGCCACTTTAAAGTGGTATTTCCAATACTTAGATATACAAAAAGATTATCTTGAATGTTGAACTTTGATTTATTAAGAGCTGATTATCTTGAAATACCACTTCAAAGTGGTATTATCAAATACTGAATTATCAGGGATAGTGAACTTTGACTACAGCATTGTATCAGTGGTGATTCAATATTCTGCTACTATGTTGTGTTCTTACTGTGCTAGAAGAGGAACATCTTGCACCTAAATATTTATGCTGCGCGCCTTCTTGCTTTTCAACTTTTTACTGCAATGTATCCTCACAATAGAATTTTTTACGAACACTAACGTGTGATGTGTGTGTATATATCTTTTTGGGGAGCGCTTGCATCGTTACATGTATATACTTATGTCTATTTAATCTTCATTTTTGTACTTTTCAATTGCTTGCAAATGAGTTTTGACTGGGCTTGCACAGGACGGAAGCAGAAAAAGGGGTTGTTGTTACCAATCACTCATTGTCGGTATGTATATCTTTAAGCGCGACTGTTCCTGAATTGATTTTTTGAAGTTTAATTAATTAATCCGTATTGTTCTGCTTATCTTATTACTGCATTCCCTGTATCTTAATGAAAATAATGTTCATACAAGAAAGCTAGCCACACAATCTTTGTTTTTGTGACGCGCCGCGGCACCCATATGTGATCTCGACAGATACAAATTAAGTTTTGAAACAGTAAAAGTCATCATCATCTTATACCAAGAAAAAAAAAAAAACAACAGAAGTCGTCTGGTTTTTTGGGTATTTGTGATTATTTTCTGGCTCATTATATCTTTTCTAGTGGGCTAAACTGACATGCAAGGTATGATTGAAGTTCGATTTCTTTTACTTGGATAAATAAATGTCAACTTGAAAAAGGGATCAGAGAATCTACCATTTTTTTGATTCCTTATGCAAATTAATTAGCTTTAGGTGCTAAAAGGGTATACAAACAACGTTCACAGGGTAGAATCCTCTGTCGCGCACATTCATTCCTTGCGATATTTTTACACCCTTCAAGCCCTGCCACCACTTTTCGCATTGTGAACTCATCATTAACTGCCATTGATGTTCTTTAGGACGGTGGTCAATGTCCCAACTCTTAATACTTTTTAGTCTTCAGCTGCAAAACTCCCATATCCATTAAAATAAATGTTAATCTGTACTTATTTTATGGAGGATTGTCGCTCCTTTTATTTTGTTTCTTTCACTATTTCAGGTCACTTTCAATGGATCATTTGATCACATG